AAAACCATGAAAGGTAGGGTTAATTCCATCCTATATGAAATACGCTGATTGAACACTGCTCCCTACTCAATTATTTCTTCGCGCAATGACTGTGCGAACACATGTTCAGAACTTACAATTGGATAGCTTGTCATCATCAATCATTTTTGCTCAGAATAGGGCGGGACCGAAATCATACTTGTTTAGCCTTTGTAGTTCGTCCATTAATTGGTCCATTGGAATCAGTTAGACTGACTAGTGCAGTGTTTTTTATAATAGATAAAATCATATTGGGTAAAAAGTTGTCCAGTATCATGCTATGGGCAAGTTTTAAAACTCCATCACGATAGTGTAATAAGTAAGAGTGATCATGAAAAATGTTTTGGGGTTAATGTTTCTTTTCCATTATCCGGAGTGGAAAACGGTTGAGGAAATCAGAGTGAAATCAAACCACTGTATTAGTTTACGATAACAGCAGCCTGCACATGTATGATTTGAGGCGTAAAAAGCTGTTTTCAAAAATTGGTTTTCCCATTCCAACTGATATCACTTGCCTATGGCGACGGTTTTCGTGAACATAGAAAAAGAAACACAAATTGAAGGAGTACTAAATTTTTCTGATAGAATGCAGACATATAATCTCATCAATAAGTGTTCACCTAATTAGAATGTCTCCGTTCGTCTATATACTATAAAGCATAACCCATTTTCGAGAGCGTATTTAGAGTAGTTTCAAGACCTGGAAACGGAGGGAAAAGTGACTGAGTGTAAATTTTCACCGTGACATAAAACATCTGTGTTGTAGGGATCAGTGATTAACAGCGGTACAATTGGTTGACCAATTTTCTCTAGAGAATATCGCATACTGTTATGCCAATATTTTTGGCAATATCAAACAATGGAAACTAAATGATTTAAGAGAACACATTCTTCAGCAAGAAGCGTTTGCACCTAAATATTGCAAATCCTTAATGTGGCTTTTCAAATTAAATCTCATTGGGGGAGGCTAAACAATAAAGCAACCTAAGGGATGGTAGTATCCGTAAACAGTGGTGAACTCCGATTGTCTCCGTTTTAACATTGAAAGATGCGAATAAATGTGGAGTACAAATGCATATTCAACTCAAATCAATCATCGATCTCTCTTTGAATCCAAAAAATGAAGATTGACCTATAACAATTTTCTAAATCCTCGAAACTTGTTTCACGTCATACCTAAATCCAAGGGGTGCCTATGGAACCTTCTTACGACCTTACGGCTACCCATACTTTTATTCTTTGATGCAAATACAACAATTTATCTTTTAGTAATAACACAGCTCCAGGTCATTTCCTAAGACCGTACGATAAACAACCACTGTGAGATACGTAATCGCGTCGGGCGGCTTCTATCCGACAATTAATGTCAAAAGTACATTTTTGGAAGATTCGCTCGTTTATCACCTGTTATTGACTCAACAAAAAACGGTTATGCCCTCTGGGAATTCGTTTCTTGACAAGACCGCCACCAAACAAGACTAACACGGACAAATAGCAAATGAGAGGAAGAAAAATACGTTACAGAACAGAAGAGATGCAATTGTATCTCAGAGGTGGGAAGCAGAGAAACACACACTTGACTCTCTGGGTGATTTCTCGCAAGCGACAATCTTGGGTTTGGTTCCGTGGTAGGGGAAATGGCCAATGAAAATGGATTGAATAATGTAATGACACGTGGTTATGATCGGAATAGCCAACGCGACTGTCAAAATAACACAACCTGGAGACCTGAGGTTTTCAAGCAGTTAGGTGTAGCTACCGAGGTTGACGACAATATGGAAATAAAGATGAACTCTGCATGTTTGAAACTACCGACAGTTCTTATCTAACGTATCTGCTATTGCAGCTTTCTCACAGCCTAATTACTTATCGTGGACGGGGGGTGACAACTGAAAGTGGCCTACCGAGGAGCAAAGAGTTATTGTGAAAGCTAACCATTTCATCGACCACACTGAGCGTACCGGTTCACTATGGCCCTATCAAACTCCCGTTAATACAATGCAACATTTCGTTGTTCGGTGCCATGCTGAAGGATAGAGGAGTTGATGACTTTTTCGTTCAACAGCATTGGTGTTATGTAACCCTAACACTACCAAAGAGAACTACTACCTTTTGGAAAAAAGAAACTAACCGTTGTTCTTTGTACAAACACTTATTGGGTAATACCATGGAGCTACACGACGACCATAGCTTGCTTCTATCACTTCTAGGCCAAAATGAAGGAGTAAAAGTAGGGAATAATGCCCGGGACAGCGCGGGGTACGCTCCACCTGTCCTTTTGCATCAAAATTCTCTCCTGCTTTATCGGCTAGGAAAACCTAGTTGTTCATGCTTTGAGTCAGTAGCTGCCAAATGGAACCAGTCATCTTAGCGGAAATGTGATTAAACGTAAAACGTGCATTTCCATTAGCCAATAACACCTCCGTCCATGCCTGTCGTAAGCAGCCGAGCGAGCATGGTAGCACACAGTACGTTGAATACTCGAAACTATTCATTTACGCTGACAAATGAATTAAATGACCTTCAGGGCAGCATCTGGATGGCCCACAGTGAATACGTTTAACCTCAGTGATAGAATAGGTCTGGATTAAGGGTGACTGCTTTACGGGAGTGAACAAAGAGGAGGGAAGAAGCATTATATTACCCCAATACTCATGATTTGCACTCAGTATCAACATAAAATTTCTGCACTTAATGATTCTTCATCCAATCATTCACTCCAATACGTTAGAGGATGCATTAACAATGTGTTAGCATTGGAAAAGACAAAAGACTAAAAACGTTTTTTAGGTAAAATTTAGTGTAAATGCAAAAACTGGCATTTTATTGATCAATATTTATTATGGTTGATTCTTTCATTGCACGCACACCGGAATAGCTATCTATTAATTTCAAACGTGGAACATGTAAAAGAACATTATTTTATATTTCAGTATTATTTTAAACCGATTTCAATCTTACAAGTGTGTTTCACAAACTTTAATGACAGATATCATCGGATCTCCTTCAAAAACGGATGGGCATAGCATAAACAATGGCACAGTTGTTACTTCCTCCACGGCAAAGCAATCACCTCCCATGCCAACGGATTCCACGGCTAGCAAAGAAACACCTTTAGGATCAGGTATATCCAACGGCACAGCCGGAAAGGTTCCACCATATTCAGAGAAACACCGTAAAGTAATTGGATCCGAAAGCCCACGCAGTACCCCGTCAAATCCATGCACGGAATTGCCCAGCAGACCGCCCACGTCCACAAGTCCTACTGTGGTCACCTCTATGCCCTTCCATCCAGCGTTTTCCACGCCACGTACAGTGGGAACTTCATCCGCGTCAGCATTGGCACAATCATTCGGCATGCTTAATGCTTCAAAGAAAGTGGCGAGCTTAACGGGAGAGTCTAAATTACCCAGTGGTCCAAATGCTCCCGCTGCTGTTCCTTCAAGGCGGGCATCACGCATGGCTAGTGATGATGGTAAGTTGTGTTATGAGAGGACTCAAATGACCGTGTAATGAAAAAGGATAATCAAAGGTTACTTAACGAATACCTAATAGAAATGGCATAATTATTATCATCGTCATCATCATCATCATCATTATCAAGTATTGAGTAATACATTGAATATTCCCATTATGAAATTAAGAAACCACTAGCGAACAAGGCTTGTTTTCGATAACTTTATATATAGGGTTCAAAATTATCAACCTAGTATAATGGGATGATATGATGACAGTTTTGAACCCTATAAATAACTGTATTAGCCAAAACAGTAAGCAATCTAAAACAAGCTTTGTTCACTAAAGTGGTTTCACATTAAGTAATAATTTATTATTATATTCCATACATTAATGTAAATTTTGGTTCAGTTCACGCCTTAGTAAAACTTTTTCAGCCATCTTTTGATTTTCTGGTGTGACGTCACTGGATATCATTGACTTATTGGGTTTTAAAAGCGGATTTTACACAACTGTTAGCAAGCATTTAACTTGTGGTATGCGGAAAATAAAACAGATAAAACTGTTTCTTTTGATTTGATTTGCGATGAAACGTAGACAGGGAATGAACAATGTAGAGAATCTAGAACAACAATCTGACAGACTGAGGCTGGCGCGGACTTCTTATCTGACTTACACGCTTTCCTTTATCCAACTTTCTTTGAATGATTTGCACGCCAGTGAAACAAACGAGGCAGATAGGAGTGATCCCGAGGATGTGATTTGTTTTGATTTCCTCTTTGAACAACGAAAAGGGGTAAACTGTTCCCCGAAACAAACATGCAAACACAGAGCACACATTGTGACTGACTGACACCGTCTGGTTCGATGTTTAAAATCAAAAGGATTATGACCACATGTAAAGAAAAGTGAAGTTTTCTTTCAGTTTAAACTCCCTTATTGTAATATAAAATATTATATCACGGATACCACTGAGCACTGTGTTTGTCCTGGCAGTGCATTTTTCAACGGATTTTATTTAAAAAAAACAAATTTGTAAACCAATGATAACTCTGAAATACAATATGAACTAATCACTATACATCACTAAATTATACAGGCTATGTTATAGTAGCAGTCGCTACTTCTAACAGATGCCTAAAAAGAAAGAAATGGGCGATGGTGGCCCGGTGGTAGCGTCATCAAATTATCATCCCGGGGGGACGTGCGTGCGAATCCCTATTCTCTGTGTTGTTTGGCAGCCCTTTGATTGGCCGCTTCTTCCCCCCGGAAAATTGTATATTTGTAATATTCAATAAAAGGAAGTTCAAAGGAAAAAGGCAAAGTGCAGGTGATACACCTACAGTTTTATGGCTAGTTTGATTATGCATTGGTGATATTCTGTTAACTTCTTATTAGCTGAAACCATTGATTTCGAAAAAACGTTTCTGCCCTGAAGTACCGATGGTACAAATGAATAATCTTAGTCAACATCAGTGGTCAAGGTGAAATGATAACTTTTAGAAAACCTATCGATCAATACAGTGATTATGTTATTTTATTGTACCACAATGATTGTTGTGATTCCTTGTCTGTTCTTTTTTAGCTCCATTCGGAATCCTATATTTCACACTCTATCATGATACAATTAACAAGCAACTCCACGTGGCCATCCACAAAGCAAAAGTGAGTTCACAATCAAGTGAATTCTGACAATTTATGATGTTTTTTGGTAGAAATTTTCATTTGGGGCCAAAATAACACCAAAGCGCACAAATGTGTTAAAAACTGTGTCTAAAAGTGCCGTACATTTAGAACGATTGCTCTGCTGTGGGGCCTGGTATACAAGTTTGGAATTATTGACTTCGATGTCATGTGTAGGCAGGGCGTGACCGAAAGTCATTGCTAATTGTTGGATACAAATAAACTGATGATGGTTTTCAAACGTTAACACATCTGACGCAAAATCAAGCCACTGGTATGATCCAGGGCGGTAAATGCGTGTCCCAAATACTCAATAATGATGGTGATAAGCTGGATGATGAGAATGGCAATATTGATAAAATAATACTAATACTTCCTACTAATAATTAACTAATTAATAATTATTCATCGGTTCATTGGAAATTCGAAGCTCGAGTATGATTGTTCTCCATTTTTCCTCATAAAGCCTACCCAGATATGACTGTCGTCAATGGAACAGATTTCGAAAGGGCGAAAGTGGAAGCTGTTTGTGACACAGCTGTTAGAACTTTTCCCATGGGGTCCTAGGTGCCCTACGTAACTAGTGTTGATCCCAATTAACTCAAAACCGTGTGCTCACCCTCAGGTGACAGATACAAATTGACCCGTGGATAAAAAATAAAGTCTTAATTATGATCAATTCATTATTATTTTTGTGTGAAGTCATTCCCCATTTGAAGCAGACAGTTCATGCATTTCACTTTCATCTGCAGTTGTTTAATTGGGTTCCATAGCGATCTATTCGATTTTCTTTGTGTACTGCTCACAGACGGTATCCTAATGGGATCAGCCTGAATAAGCACATTTATTATTAAATTCGTGTGTTCTCTCATTTCACCTTATCGTATCCTAATATGTCGTAGTTTTCAGTATAAAAAAGAATCGTTCCGTCATTAGTGAGAACATTAGTTTCGACGGCGAATGGAATGCAAAAGTGACGTCAATAGTGAAGCTGACATTATGTGGCGATAGCTACCGAATGTCTATTCTCTTATCTCTACGTTTTTTGGAATCGTGTGGTGATTCTCAATGTCTTACTCCCGTCTTCAAGCCACCGATAAGTGTTCGGGTGAGTTAAGCGTTTTTGTTTGCTTAATGTTGATCAGTCGATCTGGTTTCATATGTTATCCAGGATTAATCCGTAGCGATAGCTCTGTGTTGCATTGGCTCGGGGTTTAGACCCCAGCGTGCAATGAAGCTGTTGGCATTTGTTTGCTGTTTTCCGGCTTGGTTACACACAAAACTCACTGGTTTACATACCAAGGCCGTTTCGACCCGGTGTGAGCAGTTTGACGGGACATGATGTTTAATTTGATTCAGGTGAATAAAGATTTCAGCAACCGACCGTGAGCTAACCATTCACGTAGTCGTTCTCATCAGTCAACGCGCTCCTAATTCCATCAAATTTCATCTTGAATTTCCACCTGCCGCAATTCACCTACACTGTATCTTGCTTGTCTATTCATAAACGAAGAGCGGACAATAAGTGAACTTTGTCTTAACCTTGGATTACCAAATGTCCCCATGTCTGTAAAACATTTCTCCCACTTTTTTGTGTACATTCTGACGGTTAGCGCGTATGAGTTTTTAACTGAAATGTGAGCTCCCGTGCTTGAAAAACAGTTATACACATACACAAATAAAAGCAAAGACTTAAAATATGCAAGTGTCACTCGGCTTCACGGATAGACTCTCATGAGCAAACAAAACCTCTCAAACCGTTATGCATGAACAAATGTATATTCACTGGCTTTGGGACCCCGCATAAAAGTCTTCCATCAGGGAGCCAATCGCCGTCCGGTAAGGTACCTAACTTTCACCAGCAGAGACCCGTCAGTGCCATATCAGGTAGTGTTGACATGTAGCAAGTTGCTGAGAGTCAGTCCTGGTGGTCCAAGTGTTTAAGGCTTCGGACTATTAACCCTTTAGGCCCGCATTCGAATCCCAGTGGATTCGATGGATACGCCCCGCTGATGATTTCTGGTGAAGATCAAGCACCTGTACCTAGTATCCCTAAGGCTTTCGAGTGATGAGTGAAACACCTACCTAGCTTGACGACTATACCTTCGTAGAATAGCATTTCGCGACCAATTTTCAGTGTCCTGGAAACACCTGGAACAATCAATCATCGTGCAACGTGTTTTGCTCAATACATTCAGCCCCTTATAATTACGGAATGGAATAAAACCACAGAGGGAGTCACAATGACAAGCACAGATTCAGTTCAGTTTTCGTTTGGGGCAAATTAACCAAAAT